ATAAATACCCTCTGGCCCATCCCTGTGAATCATTTCTTATCGTGTTATTGTTAGGTCACAATAGATGAGAAGGATAACTGGGCCACTGGAATTTCTCACTTGGAGTGGATTCTGGAGACAGAGATGTGCAGCTTTATGTCTTTGCCACAGCATTTTCCTTTCCCTCACCTTGAAAACTGCTCTTGTAGTTTCACAAAATATTACGCACCTCACATTTACTCTAGCTCAGTTATTCACAAGCATTTTGAACTGAGAGACCACTGTCAACCTTCACCATTTCCCATGGATGACTATGCACACTTATCAACTTTCCCTTACAGACACTATAAAAGTGCCTGGGACCCCACTGCAAACTGTGCACTGCTTTCCATAGCCTTTTTTTGATGCAGTTTGGGTATCATGGATTTAACTCACTGGTTTCTTTTCACAGCCTTGTAACAAAGCAGCTACAAAATCTGCAAGGGACTAAGATGTAGAGGAAACGATTCTGCGTGTAGTTCTGTATTCACAAACTACCATCCCAGCCAGCAGGGTTTTCTTTTAAAAACAGGCAAAACAAATGTGAAAAGTTGCATAAAGCTGTTTTTTTTATTTTACATTTTGTTAAAACTTCAATAAAGGGTAGCTAGCAGGTGGGAGCCAGCAGGGACTAGCTGTGCACAGCCTATCAATGCAGCAACAATATTGCCTGGAGTGCAAAGGTTTTGTTTCCGTACTGTTACAAGTAAGCTGGAGGACGTGTAACATGGAAGACAGTTTGGGACTGCTTTTCTTTACCTTGGTTCCGCTGAAAATGAGATTACATGGCTATATGGAGTAAAGTTAATTAGCGATTAATGGGATTCCTCAAACTCCACTTCACTCTCGCTACTTCACTCTCGCTACAGTCTGGCCTCAGCAGTACTATGAAACTTTCATTTTTGTTATTTAAAGAGTAGTAGAAAGATGAATGCAAGACTTGGAGCGACTCTCTCTCTACCTTGGACAGCAAATTCCCAAAGTGAAATAGGATTCCTAAAGGGGACTAGGACAAATTAACTTAAATATTTTTATGATTAAATTACATTAAAAAGGTAATTAATAACTAACAGCATTATTTGTGTGACAGTCATTAAAGATTTGAAGGCTAACCTCCCAGAAGTAACCTGGTTAATCATAAAACTATGAAATTAAGTTTAAACAATAGAAAATGAATTCACTCCTAGAAAAGAAGATAGATATACACTTAATCTGTAAACTAAGTAGAAAACTGCACATATATCACAATTATCTCAAGTCTGATCACACACTTCTTTGCTACCATGTGTCTGAAGTCTATGATTTATGGATACTATGTCAGAGAGAATTTAATACATTTTCTCTCTCAGATAAAATGAAAATGAGATGTTGTGGCTTAGCACAGTATATTGCCATAATTATTTACATTTATGAAATCTTTACAGATGCATCTTATACTGTTCCATTTAAGAGAAAGTAACAGTCCTCAAATTTAGGGTACAAATATAGTCCAACCACACAGCACCACATTCATCATCTTTAACACAGTGGTGGGAAAAAGATAGAGCTGTTGCCCAAATGAATTAATCAGTTGATACTGGCCAGTTAACCAACTGTATCCTGACAAATTCACCCCCTTGCATCTATGTTTTAAGTGACAAGGAGACTGTTCAGCAAAACCAAATGGAAACAGACTTGATTAGGAGAGGACAGGGGTGCTTAACCTCTGGCCTGTGAGCCAAATGCAGTCCACAGAGCCACAAGTATACCATGGATTGGGAAATTTGGCAGCCAGGAAGTGATGGCAATAAATATGGCCACCCTCCCCCATTGCTAAATTCCCAAATCCCCGAGCCCTGCACAGTATGTTGGGGCCAGGTCAGGCCTCTCCCACCAGGCTGGATGGGGACAGGCCATGCCCCCTTCCCCACACTGGGCTGGGCCCTGTGGGGCCAGGTCAAGCCCTCATTCCCCCCCCTGCAGGGCTGGGTCAAGACATCATCCTCGATGGGGTCGAGCAATGCCCCCATGGGGATGGGCCACGCCCACCCTCCCCTCCCAGGGGGCCAGTTTGGAGCTGGAATGCCCCCTGTCCCACTCCACGGGGCCCTGCCATGACTGGCCTGTGCCACATCAGGACCACCAGCTGGATCCAGCCCCCGGACAGCCTGGGCACTGGCCATTTGACCTGCCAGCCAAAAAGGTTGAGTACCACTAGTATAGGACTGAAATCAGCACCTTCACAAAAAGGAAAAGATTATTATAAAGTCCAAGACACATTTCTTACAAGCTCTCTCCCTACTTTCCACCAGGGGTCACAGAACATAGGGGTCAAAGGTTACTTAATTTTGAAGCCCCAACTAAGTGCCTGAAGACATGTTGCTACCACTAACTTACTGTGCCAGGCAGCTGTCTACGTGCTACCTCTCAGATCAGAAGCAGCGTGGCTGCCAGTTTAGCTCTGCCTGCCCCCAGCTCATATAGAAAAAGCTGCTGTTGGGGAAAAGGGCTGGAAGGCTCAAAACATTTCTTTCTTTTGGGACCTCCCTGAAAACCATCCAAGACCGTTCTCTTCAGTGATCCTTAGAAGATGCTGATCACAAATTCTGACCTTCTGAGAGACATTTACCAGATCTCACCAGAATAGATGGTGCCCACCAGCCCATAAATTAACTCCTTTCCCTATGTAACCTATTTAAGCTTTGTTGGCATGAAACTCGTTAAAAATTCAATAGTATTTTGGTTCTTTTGAGCCATCCTCAGAAGCTTCTGGGAAGTTTGGTCAAAGTCTTAGCATAAATATACAGTTACAATATAGCATCATGTAAAATATATAAAGTTACACATTTCACTAAATTTCATCAACATGCTTACAACTAAAATAGTCCTTTCCAATAGGTGCAGCCAACACGGCACGTGTAAGAACAAAGGCCGTGAAAGGACAATCCAGTCATCATCCCAAAATACCACACCCCGTTTTGGAATGACTTCTCCATGAACAATCAAGTTTTGCAAGAAAGAGAAAGTCTAACAAGTTTCTAGTGGCTACTTCTTTGAAGGACAAAATGGCAATTTGGGCAGTAGATGTCTTGAGGGATTGGTAAAGAGACCTGGAAGCTTATATAGCATACCTTTCATTTTGCACATGTTGATATTACCTGAAACCTTTACCATCTGGAAGATACTCAGCAGTCCTTGTAGAATAAATTGGGGGCCTTGGTGTAGTTCATAATGGACAGGTGTCTAAACCACAAAGCTCTATCACAACCTGTAATCAGAACCCTTGTTGGCAGCCTGCATAGATGTGCTAAGAACCAGTGAAAATTTAATAAATGTCTAGTAATAAGGAAAGGGCTGGTAACCAGTGTTAGGGGCAGAGAAGGGATGTGTACACATACCGCCTGAATAATTTGTTTCTTAACGTTTCTTCTCACAGTTTTGAGGATTGGCTGCATGATATTCTTGGGTGCATCCCTTTGTGGAACTGCCATTAGGCTGATACAATTTGTACTGTGGTTAATTTTCAGACTTTTCTATATGTTGGCAAATACGGGATCCAAAGGAATTTCTCTCCCTGCCGCTGAATCTGTTCCTTCTCTCTAACAATTTTAAAGGTCAAGAAAATAAGAGTGCAGCTGTGTCACTCACAAAATCTCTGAACTGCCTTCTGACAGGATCCTCCATCACAAATGTCTTCCTTTCTAAATGCTACAAGGCAGTCTGTCAGATAGCTAGTCTTGCTGAAAGTTATGTCACAAGTCATCATAAATCAGGCCAAGTCTTAAGATGATAAGCTTGTTAAGAACAAATATTTCTTCAACTTTTGGGGCAGGTGCTGTAATTAAATAGGACTTTAATAAACTAGATACTAATCCTGAAGCAACAGATGGCTGTTACAAAATAGCACTGTAAACATGCTGGCTAATTCTTCTTAGCGAACTTCCTCCAGAGGTAGCACCGAGGGAGGAAATGGTGAACTGTCCCAGCGATTGGGCTGCCACGGTGAAAAAGGGACATGCAGCTGACTGCCGAGTCCCCTGAAGATTCCCTAACACATGCAATCCCCAGGTGACGCAGACCTAAACCTGCTCATTTGCAGGGCACGGGGGTATATGACCAGTCATCTCTGCCTGGTACGGCTTGCACTGCTATCTTTGTGGTCTTCCCCACCTTCTGGGTCTGCGCTAAACACAGAGAGATTAGGTCTGTGAGAAGTTATTTCTGAAGTAATATCAATGACACTACAAATGCAAACCAAGATGTGATGAAGCAGGCAATAAAGGAGGGATTTCTTCACAGAAATCTAGTTTAGTCAAAGTACTTACGGCAGGTTTAAACTGATGGTTCAAATTCAAGTTTGCTGGTTTAACAGTAAGTTAGTGGTGCTGATTACATGTCACTCGAAGTGGATGCCTCTAAATCACTATAGGTATTATAGGTAGGATTTACAAATGATTATTTATTAGGTTCTGTGAATTACTTCATAGGCAGATTAACAGTTTATCAGAGTGGGCTAAAATAGCTGATAATTTATTACTAGTTTAACATGGAGCCCTTTCTAATCATCTAATCAATCAAAACAAAACAACCACTTACAGGAAGATCAGAAGCACCAATCTTAATTTCTAGGAAAGAAGATGAAATCCTTCTTGCTGTAAGAGTTTTTGGAATATTATGGGTGTCACTTTTTTTTAAACACAGGGAAGAAAAGATTTTGGGTCAGACTGGTTTGGGATGCCTATGCACAGTCCTCAATGAATCTGACCTGCACTGGGTTTTTGTTTTAGAATTTAGGTTTTTTTAATCTTCCACTGACGGTTTGGATTTTTGGATGCAACTTTTACAAAACACGCCAACGTGTCAGGTTCTGACGTTCTTAACATCCCGGAGCTGGTCAACGTGGTAAGACACCAAGCCAAACCTTCCTCTGCTGTAACATACTTGCCATCTTAAGGCATACAACATTTTAGTAGTGTTTATTCATAAAAGGGACATTTACTTACGTCTCTCCTAGGAAAGGTACCCAGCAGCTTGTACTCCTCCCAAGGGTATCCCTTGGAAGCTACAAAATCAAAGACAACCTGCAGCTTACTGCTGGCCAGGAAACGGCGCTCAAAGAATTCTCCGCTGGGCGTTCGTATACGCAGCTTACTGACTGACTCGGTGCTCTCTTCCTTTGGTTCTGGAGGCAAAGACTGCTCTAGAGAGAGCCTGATGGCCTA